CCGTCCTCCCCTGCCCCCACGCGGTCCGCCCTGCCGGGCCCTTAGTGTGAGCCGCTGTTCTCCCACCGGTGCTCTGGCTCTCGGGCACAGCTTTTGCCTTTGCTGCCGCTGGGCTTTGCTCACTTGTGTGCTCTGGCCAAGCGGCTCCCAGCCTCCTGTGGAGCGCAGTTCATTCCTCTCCATCTGTCTTGGTCACCTTAGCGGGAGGCGACGACTGTTCTTGGTACTTTCCACTGTTGGCCACACATTTGTTTGTGGCCGTCCATGTCACAGTGAGGTGCAGACTCTCTTCTGTCCTGGACTCTCAGCGCCTAGCGCCTGCTGGAGTGGGTGGATTCCCATTCTCTCCCACTCTCCTAACAGACACAATAAAGTTCACAAAGTGGAGCTTTAATTCTGAGTTTTAACACATGCATGTAATCATGTCTTGGTCTCTCTTAGCTTATTTGATCTGGATACCTTGTAGTGCAGCCTGGCTTCACAATCATGACATAGCCCAGGCTGACCTCCAACTAAAGAGCTCCTCCTGCCTCAGCCTCCCAGATGCTGGGGTTACAGGCACATGCCAACATGTCCAGGTGGGTATGTGTCTTATTTTTTTAAGGTGCTACCTGTTCAAGACAGCGCACAGGGGCCTGCCCCTTAGCTCCGCTCTTGAAGTGGCTGCTTCAGCAAACTTCGATTCCCACAATTCAAGGCAGCCAAACCTGCCCTGAAGGCATTCGGAGAAAAAAAAAAAAAAAGACAGCGCACAGTAATCAGTACACGGAGGCCATGTGGCCGGCAGCCTGGCTCCCCACTGGGCCTGGTGCATTCACCCTGGCCTGGGAGTGGCGCACAGGTTCTGAGGTATGCGTACAGGTGCAGCAGGTGGCCCTCGGCCAGGCTGGCACAGACGTCACCAGTGTGCGTGTTCAGAATTGGAGCCAGTAGGCCATCAATGCCATGCAGCAACCAGCCTGCTGCCATAACTGGCTCCTGGGACATCGGCTACCCTTTTGCTCTGGAAGGAGACCGAGAAACACTTCTCAACACGTGCACTGACATGACACTCTAAAGCTGCTAAGCTGGGCGTGCTGGCGCATGCCTGGATCCCAGCACTCGAGGCTGGGGCAGGGAGCGCTGTGAGCTTGAGGCCAGCCTGGACAGCACTGTAAGACCTGGTCTAAAAAGCACAAAGAAAACAGGATGCCACCACCTGAGGCCAGCGGGGAGAGGCTCCTGGAAGACAGGCAGAGGTCTCGGCCAAGGGACGGCGGGAGCCTCCGAGCCAGGAGGGAGCACGGAGTGGGTTACCCTGCACACCTGGACGTCCGACTCCTCCAGCCTTCCAGAGACTAGATCCCTGTTGTGTATTTTGTTTTGATACTAGAGATTGAACCCAGGGCCTAGGGATGCACTCAGCTGCATCCCTGGCCTTTTAAAAGAGTTTTTATTGGGGCCGGGGAGGTAGCTCAGTAGAATAAATGCTTGCCTGGCAAACACAAGGGCCTGAGTTCAATCTGGTTCCACAAAAAAAAAAAAAAAAAAATAAAATAGTTTTTATTTTGAGATAGAGTCTCACTAGGTCACTAAGTTGCCCAGGATGGAACTTGCAGTCCTCCTGCCTCAGCCTCCCAATGTGCTGGAACTACAGGCCTGTACCACCATACCCAGCTAGAGGCCTGCTTTAAGCCACACAGTTTGAGGCATTTTCCAGCAGCCGCAGGAAACTGCAGGAAGTACTGAGACCGCGACTGAGACTGGGTGTGGTGGGGAGCACCTGTAATCCCAGCTCTTGGGAGGCTGAACACAGGCGGATAATTATGAATCCATTCTACTTAGACCCTGTAGACCCTGTCCTAAAATACAACAAACACAACTCAAAATCAATATTGAAAAAATAGCCAGATGTGGTGGCTGTTATCTCAGCCCTTAGGAGGCTGAGGCAGGAGGATTACTGCAAATTCAAGGCCGGCCTGATCTACATGGTGAAACCCTGCCTCAAGTACATAAAGAAGCTGCA